GCAACAGATTGGCATCCCAACCTCCTTACTAGACAAGATTATGACTCTTTAACGATCTATACCAACAGCTTTCCTTGAATCCTCCCACCTGGCAACAGATTGGCATTCCAAACCTCCTTACTCCCACCTGGACAAGATTACTGACAGGATTACCATTTACGACTGACCAACCAGCTTCCTTGAATCCTCCCACCTGGCAACAGATTCCTTACTGGCATCCCAACCTTTCCTTACTAGAATCGAAAGATTACGACTGACCAACAGCTTTCCTTGAATCCTCCCACCTGGCAACAGATTGGCATCCCAACCTCCTTACTGGACAAGATTATGACTAACCAATAGCTGTTCTTGAATCCTCCCACCTGGCAACAGATTGGCATCCCAACCTCCTTACTGGACAAGATTATGACTAACCAATAGCTGTTCTTGAATCCTCCCACCTGGCAACAGTATTGGCATCCCAACCTCCTTACTGGACAAGATTATGACTAACCAATAGCTGTTCTTGCATCTTGTCCACATAAAAATACCTGAAAAGGCTGCCCCCTTCTCTTTTTCTTTATATTCTAGGCATGGACCTACAGTTGTGGCCAAAATTATTCAACCCCCACTGAAATTGAGTGTTTTTGGCCAGTTTGACATTGCTTTTGATCATTCAGTCATCTTGCTTACATTTACATTAAAGAGGCACTTGTAGGTCAGACAAATATAACATAACAGTTATAATGAAATAACCACAAATGTCTTTTCTGTGCTCACAGCATTATCAGTTTTATTCAACCCCCAAGTGACATTCAATCTTAGTACTTAGTACAGCATCCTTTTACAGTTATAACAGCTTTTTAAAACGTGAAGCATAGCTTGACACAAGTGTCTTGCAGCGATCTACGGGTATCTTCGCCCATTCTTCATGGGCAAAGGCCTCCAGTTCAGTCACATTCTTAGGCTTGCGCACTGCAACTGCTTTCTTTAAGTCCCACCAGAGGTTCTCAATCGGATTTAAGTCTGGTGACTGCGATGGCCACTCCAAAATGTTCCAGCCTTTCCTCTGCAACCATGCTCTAGTGGACTTGGAGGTATGCTTGGGATCATTGTCCTGTTGAAAGGTCCAACGTCTCCCAAGCCTCAGGTGTGTGACGGACTGCATCACGTTTCCATCCAATATCTCCTGGTACTGAAGAGAATTCATGGTACCTTGCACACGCTGAAGCTTCCCTGTACCTGCAGAAGCAAAACAGCCCCAAAGCATGATTGACCCTCCACCATGCTTCACAGTAGGCAAGGTGTTCTTTTCATCATAGGCCTTGTTCTTCCTCCTCCAAACATAGCGTTGATCCATGGGCCCAAACAGTTCTAATTTTGTTTCATCAGTCCACAGAACACTATCCCACAACTTTTGTGGTTTGTCCACATGGCTTTTGGCATACTGCAGTCGACTCTTCTTATTCTTTGGAGACAGCAAGGGGGTACGCCTGGGAGTTCTGGCACGGAGGCCTTCATTACGCAGTGTGCGTCTTATTGTCTGGGCTGAAACTTCTGTACCCACATCTGACAAATCTTTTCTCAGTTCCTCAGCAGTCACACGGGGACTTCTCTCCACTCTACGCTTCAGGTAGCGCACAGCAGTCGAAGTCAGCATCTTCTTTCTGCCACGACCAGGTAGCGTTTCAACAGTGCCCTTTGCCTTGAATTTGCGAATGATGCTTCCTAAGGTGTCTCTTGGTATGTTTAACATCTTTGCAATCTTCTTATAGCCATTGCCCTTCCTGTGAAGAGAAATCACCTCTTCTCTTGTCTTCCTGGACCATTCTCTTGCCTTCACCATGTTTGTAACCACACCAGTAAAATGTCTAGAAGGAGCTGAGTATCACAGTCATTTTAAAGCTGCCTAATTGGTGCTTATTATGCTTGATTGCTGCTCGGTGACATCCACAGGTGTTTTCAATACCTGATGGAAAGCACCTGTATGAACCTCTGTTCTTCAGAGTGGTAGTCTTAAAGGGGTTGAATAATTGTGGCAATGAAGAAACCACATAAGAACCATTTACTACTGTATTACATAAACAATTGATGTCATTTTAGTTGCATTTGGGTAGTTACAACGTCCTTGTAGGATTTGATTCTGAATACAATTCCAAATGTACACTATAGTCCCTAAACCCCTTTACAGCATTGGGGGTTGAATAATTTTGGCCACACTGTATCTACTGCCTTCCACCTTGACCCCGACTATAAGATGCAACCCTAGGAAACCATCACAAACTTGGCTTGTACACCATCCATCTACTAATATGTATGTAACTAATCCCAGACTAGTGTTTCCTTCCAATCTAAAGGAAAACTTTTGGACACTGTAGTAATTTTAAAGCCCACACCACTATGTCTGCAGTGTTCAATGTTTCCCTACCCTAGAGGAGCGCCAACATTTTCAATCTACCTTTCCTTTCCAATGGGCCCCTTCAGCAGTTAAATATCTTGGGGTTCACATTCCTGCCAGCTTTGGGCACCTGTACAAACTAAACTACTCCCCACTTCTTCAGGATACCCTCTCGAGGATTTGCACATGGTCCTATTGGTTGCATGACCTTTTCGAAATGGATATTTTCCCTCCCATTATTTGTTTTCCAAGCATGACCCCAATTTTTTTTTCAGTATTCTGAAAACAGCGTAACTGAAATATATTTGGGCCGCTCACCTCCCCGCTTGCGTTGCGACATATTGGTCAGATGGAAGTTGACTGGTGGAGAAGGTCTCCATCATTCTGAATTCTACTATAAGGTGACCTTTGTATCTTATGTCGTTGATTGAATACATCACCGAAAAGACAAAGCTGGAGGGTATGATTGAGAACTACCTCTCACCAATATCACTGAACTCTCCTCTTTGGATATCGCCAAGACCTGTGGGTTCCATAGTCCTGCAATGGGGACACCAGGACAGGAGGTAAAAGGAAATATTCCAATGGGCACACCAACAAAGGAAGCGAGGAAGTCTTTAACTGGGGACATGAAACAGGCAATGGATTGAGGCGAAATCTTCCAGTGGGGACACCAGGACAGAAAACGAGAAGAAATCCTCTAATGGGGACACCAGGATAGGAGGTAGAAGGAAATATTCCAATGGGCACACCAACAAAGGAAGTGAGGAAGTCTTTCACTGGGGACATGAACCAGGCAATGGAGTGAGGCAAAATCTTCTAGTGGGGACTCCAGGACAGAAAACGAGAAGAAATCCTCTAATGGGGACACCAGGATAGGAGGTAGAAGGAAATATTCCAATGGGCATACCAACAAAGGAAGTGAGGAAGTCTTTCACTGGGGACATGAACCAGGCAATGGAATGAAGCAAAATCTTCTAGTGGGGACACCAGGACAGAAAACAAGACAAAATCCTCTAATGGGGACACCAGGATAGGAAGTGAGGAGAAATCTTCCAATGGGGAAACAAGGACAGGACGTTAGGGGAACGTTCTAATGGGGACACCAGGAAAGGAAGTGAAGGAAAATCTTCCAGTGGGGAAAATGCACCCTCTGAAAAGTAATCAATCTCAGACTGCTTTTCAGAGGGCAGCATTTGTCTAAAAGAGTTCTTAGGCTCCATTCAATGCTATAGATTTAGGACAGTGACCATGCAGCCCCATCATTGCAATGGGCCACCCTACACACAACTATCACACAGAAGATAAGAAATCCGCTTTATTTAAATCACATTGCAGCTTTTGTCACAGGAAACATGCCGCTGACAAGAATGATGAAACAAAATGAACACTGCTCCGCTCCCCTCATGGTTGCCACCAGTCCCCTGCTCTTTCAGTACATGTTCCGCTCCCATCCCCGGACTCCCCTCATCCTCCTTCCAGGCCCCGCTCTGAGCCACATTCCTGACGGAATAATATGTCCGGGTTTCAGACGGACACGTTATTCAGACACACCTAGGTATACCGCTGTGATGTGTGGAGCCTCTCGTGGGGCCCCCTACCAACCCTGGGACCTCAGGCAGTGCCCGAATAATCAGTCCACCCCTGTTTGGGTCATTAACATATCGGGGTATGAAGAATCTGCACATTAAGAGTCATCCTAGTGCAATTTCTACATGTGGTTGCCAGGAGCAATGGAGGTGCAGTCAGCAAGCAGCCTGTCGGAAGTGTATACCTGTTATAAGTGGAACAGTCTTTAGACGGGAGGGAGGTGTTGTCGACGCTCCCTACGCCATATTCCGACCCCCGCAGCAACTGCATTGCAGAGGTTCCCATCCTGTATAGAGGTATGGAAGTTCAGGAGATAGTCAAGTGCAGGATGAAGCCCACGCTATGTGCACGGCACGGTTCCATGCTGCTACCAGGACCGGTAGTGGGAAACGCTGGACTGGTGGTTGTGGTGAACTCTTCTTGGGCATGTTTCCTATCTTGCCCCGGCTGGTCCTCGAGAGCTGCATAATGCCTCATTTGCCCATTTTGTCACAGCTACTAACTCTTTATATTAACTTCTTATATTATTTCCACCAAAGGTGTGCCACTTGGCAACATAGATCCGAGCTGGATCTGGGTGGGACATTTGGAAACAAGTGGTGTAATGTACTTTATGTATCCGGAGCTATGGAAGTGTTTCTGGGCATCCTGGTGGGCATGTCATGGCTGATCAAGACTGATTGTGGATGTGTTTTCCAACACATAGACAAGGGAGGCGGGGTGGGGAAATCCTGTGACTACTAGCCAGACTGATGAGACTTTTCTAGGTGCCTAGCTGTTAGAATAATGTTTAAAGGTTGCATTGTCATGTTTTACATCTTATCTTAGATGGGAATGTCCTCCTGGGGGTATAAAGTACCGTATTTTTCGTTCCATAAGACGCACTTTTTCCCCCCCCAAAAAATGGGGTAAAATGTCTGTGTTTCTTATGGAGCGAAATATGGAGCAACCAGACGGGTATTCCCATGTTAGAATACCGGGCCAGCCGCTGTGCTCTTCTGTGCAGCAGAACCGGCTCCTCGGTCCTCCGTGTTCCTCGGTCCAGCGGTGTCCTCACCGTCTTCTCTCCCTGGTGCCGGCATCTTTAGTGTGGGCACCCGGCTGAGACAGCCCACTGTGCATGCGCGAGAAGCACTGCGCTTTGTGAATGGTCTGGCAGTCTTCTAGAACCTGTCATGTGTCCCAGAAGATGGGTAGAGAGGACAACTCCACAAAAGTGGGAGCGGGAACCTGCCAAAGTCAGGTACCCGCTCCCCCCCCACCCTCGCTCCCGAAAGGTCTGCAGTCTCTGGTCATCTCCTGTACTGTGTCCGCAGTCTCTGGTCATCTCCTGTACTGTGTCCGCAGTCTCTGGTCATCTCCTGTACTGTGTCCGCAGTCTCTGGTCATCCCCTGTACTATGTCCGCAGTCTCTGGTCATCTCCTGTACTATGTCTGCAGTCTCTGGTCATCTCCTGTACTGTGTCCGCAGTCTCTGGTCATCCCCTGTACTGTGTCTGCAGTCTCTGGTCATCTCCTGTACTGTGTCTGCAGTCTCTGGTCATCTCCTGTACTGTGTCCGCAGTCTCTGGTCATCCCCTGTACTATGTCCGCAGTCTCTGGTCATCTCCTGTACTATGTCTGCAGTCTCTGGTCATCTCCTGTACTGTGTCCGCAGTCTCTGGTCATCCCCTGTACTGTGTCCGCAGTCTCTGGTCATCCCCTGTACTGTGTCCGCAGTCTTTGGGCATCTCCTGTACTATGTCTGCAGTCTCTGGTCATCTCCTGTACTATGTCTGCGGTCTCTGGTCATCTCCTGTACTATGTCCGCAGTCTCTGGTCATCATCTCCTGTACTATGTCCGCAGTCTCTGGTCATCTCCTGTACTGTGTCCGCATCTCCGGTCATCTCCTGTACTGTGTCTGCAGTCTCTGGTCATCTCCTGTACTGTGTCTGCAGTCTCTGGTCATCTCCTGTACTGTCCGCAGTCTCTGGTCATCTCCTGTACTATGTCCGCAGTCTCTGGTCATCTCCTGTACTGTGTCTGCAGTCTCTGGTCATCTCCTGTACTATGTCCGCAGTCTCTGGTCATCTCCTGTACTATGTCCGCAGTCTCTGGTCATCTCTTGTACTGTCCGCAGTCTCTGGTCATCTCTTGTACTGTCCGCAGTCTCTGGTCATCTCCTGTACTGTGTCTGCAGTCTCTGATCATCTCCTGTACCGTGTCTGCAGTCTCTGGTCATCTCCTGTACTGAGTCCTCAGTCTCTGATCATCTCCTGTACTGTGTCTGCAGTCTCTGGTCATCTCCTGTACTGAGTCCTCAGTCTCTGGTCATCTCCTGTACTGTGTCCGCAGTCTTTGGTCATCTCCTGTACTATGTCCGCAGTCTCTGGTCATCTCCTGTACTATGTCCGCAGTCTTTGGTCATCCCCTGTTCTATGTCCGCAGTCTCTGGTCATCCCCTGTACTGTGTCTTCAGTCTCTGGTCATCTCCTGTACTATGTCTGCAGTCTCTGGTCATCTCCTGTACTATATCCGCAGTCTCTGGTCATCTCCTGTACTATGTCCGCAGTCTCTGGTCATCCCCTGTACTGTGTCCGCAGTCTCTGGTCATCTCCTGTACTGTGCCCGCAGTCTCTGGTCATCTCCTGTACTGTGTCCGCAGTCTCTGGTCATCTCCTGTACTATGTCCGCAGTCTCTGGTCATCCCCTGTACTGTGTCCGCAGTCTCTGGTCATCCCCTGTACTGTGTCCGCAGTCTCTGGTCATCTCCTGTACTGTGTCCGCAGTCTTTGGTCATCTCCTGTACTGTGTCCGCAGTCTCTGGTCACCTCCTGTACTGTGTCCGTGGTCTCTGGTCACCTCCTGTACTATGTCTGCGGTCTCTGGTCATCTCTTGTACTATGTCCGCAGTCTCTGGTCATCTCCTGTACTATGTCTGCAGTCTCTGGTCATCTCCTGTACTATGTCCGCAGTCTCTGGTCATCCCCTGTACTATGTCCGCAGTCTCTGGTCGTCTCCTGTACTATGTCCGCAGTCTCTGGTCATCTCCTGTACTGTGTCCGCAGTCTCTGGTCATCCTCTGTACTATGTCCGCAGTCTCTGGTCGTCTCCTGTACTATGTCCGCAGTCTCTGGTCATCTCCTGTACTATGTCCGCAGTCTCTGGTCATCCTCTGTACTATGTCCGCAGTCTCTGGTCGTCTCCTGTACTATGTCCGCAGTCTCTGGTCATCTCCTGTACTGTGTCCGCAGTCTCTGGTCGTCTCCTGTACTATGTCCGCAGTCTTTGGTCATCTCCTGTACTATGTCCGCAGTCTCTGGTCATCTCCTGTACTATGTCCGCAGTCTCTGGTCATCTTCTGTACTATGTCTGTGGTCTCTGGTCATCTTCTGTCTATGTCTGTGGTCTCTGGTCATCTTCTGTACTATGTCTCAGTCTCTGGTCATCTCCTGTACTGTGTCCGCAGTCTCTGTCATTTCCTGTACTAGCAGTCCATTGGTTCAGAATATTTTTTTTCTTTTTTTCCTCCTCTAAAAGCTAGGTGCATCTTATGGTCAGGTGCGTCTTATGAGCACAAAATACGGTATGTGTCTGGGGCTTAATAAATAGTTATTATTTTGGTTTTGCCTCAACATCTTGTCTGCGTATGGTTCTTGGGGTAAGGGGCTGGTATTATCTATCTGTCTGCTGGAACGGTTTGGAGGGCTGGAGGCACAGGTTGGCACAGGCACCCAGTTGAGGTGCCAGGCGGTCCATCACACTTGGCCTGGTAACTGTCAGGTCGCTCTGCCTGTCCCTCACAGGTCTCTATGGTCAGTCATGTTAAGTGCTCTGTCTGTGGCTCCTGTACCACCAAATGGCAGATGGGCAGAAGGAGGGATGGGACCCAGCAAGGCACATGCTGGTGAGGACGTGTGAAAGCCCACTCCTATATTAGTACTGGATTCCTTTAAATAAATAAAGAAAACATATATGTAGTCATTGTTTTACAGAGTCTCCGTAGGGTGAAAATTTTGATCTATATTACCTATTCCCAGCTGATCCATCCTGCTAAACTCAGCATGACCTTTGCAAACCTCATACTTTAACATTAAATATAGTTGGACATTTTTCTGGAGAAAACTGAAGTATTTCACAAAATAGTTTTCATTTTTTCCTGAGGATTGAAGCGATGCAATAATATTTTAGGGATTCTATAAATTTGGTCTCCTTTCTGTCCTGTATTGTGCTTTCCATCAGCTTTTCTGTATCCTCAGATTATCGACACCATGAATCAAATTTATGGCTTTACAATATTTCAGTCTGATTTTTCCATTACAGGTGTTGCTGTGTTGGCTTTACTCTGTTTTGTACAATTTAAATTGTAAAAACTGAATCTATTTTTCAGTACATTTGGTATCATGCCTCATTTTATACAGTTTTTTTTTCTTTCTAAATCATTTTTGGTGTAACAGTGTTGTCAGCCTTCTGTGGAAGCTCCTTCAAGAGGAACTTCACCCTGCCTAGCTAAAATTGTATTTCTAGTCCCTGGTAAATGTTCTTGTATGTTAAAGCCATACTTACCTTCACTCCCATGATGTGGCATCCAGAACCTCCTAGCTGACCCATGACATCTTCGGGTGGCTGGTTTCCGAGTACCGATTGCCTGCTGATTTCATTGACCGGCCAGGATGACATCTCTCCATTCAACTTCATTCATCTCAGTCTAAATTGTACAATGAGCTGCGCATGTGCAACTCAGTGAGCAGGGGTGGACAAGCAGGTAAGTAACTTACTAGTCCATTGAGTCCAGTGTTCATCGCTATGCTCCCATGCCACCACCTTGCACCAATATCCTGCACATATGCAGACACAGCACAGGTGTCTGGTAGGTCCAAGGAACCTGGCACAGACCCACGATATGTCTGTGCATGTGCAAAATTCCTTGAACCCCCACACATGTGCAGGCATGTCATGCATATCTGTGGGGTCCCACAGCCTTTCATACCTGCTGTTTTTTGCACATGCATGGGGAAGTTCATGCGGTTTCAGGCATGTCATGCATATCTGTGAGGTATCCGCCCTCTGAAGAAGTGCGTGCGCACAAAACGCGTTAGGGGGAGCCAAAGACGCCGTGACGTCACGCCGCCAGAGCCACGTGGAGGCCCGGCAGCCATCTTACTTCCTGGACGGTTAGTCCATACACTGATTACATTTGATGTCACATCTTACACCGTTTATTTTACTTGGAATTTGAAAATTCTTCTTTTATCTATTTAATAAATTGAGTATTACTTACCCTACTACACTATGGGCATTCTTTATGGTCTCCTGTGTGGAGCCAATTACTTCTAGAGCCCATCCTGATCCAGGCATCCATCGGCATCCAGAGAGGGGAGTTCCTTAAAGCTGACACCTACACCCGTCCATCCCTTAAAGGGATCTCTGGGCAGCTGGATCCAGTATTCTGCTGTGTATTCCTGACAACACCACCATACTTAGAGGGAGAAACCATTCCCGGAGGGGGATCGTTTCCAGTACCTTCAGGGGACCTCTACATAATTATACAATGCATATTTATGTTACGCATCTGGTGAGTGCGTAGTTCTACTATATCTTTTTGGAGCACCATCAGTTGGATTCTCTTGTTACCTTTACTCAGATCTGCATTTATTGACACTTTGCAAATTTTTTATGGACATTATGAAAGTTATTTATTTGTTTTAGTGCTGCACCTATATATTTGTTATATCTGTGAGGTCCCAGAGACTTCCATACCTGCTGTTTTCTTTCACATGCATGGGGAAGTTCATTCGGTTTCAGGCATGTGCAGATGAACTGCCGGTTTTCCAGGTCCCAATGCATGTCTGGGCAGCACGAGATGTGCTTAGACAATGCTGGATACATCATCCTCTCTTAGGAAAGGATGAAGAAATGGAAAAGAGAAAACATTTTTTTTTTCCAATTGTGAAAGAGAGAAAGGGGGGGGGGTGGCAGAGGAGAGGAAGCCATATTCATGGGTGAAGTTCTGCTTTCATTTGCCAACTAACTGGGCTTCTTGAATGCACAGACCAAAGTAGTAGCCCAACTACAAAGTGAAAGTACTTACAAGGCAGACGGGAAGGAGAGGAGGCAGAAGAGAGGAAGTCATATTCATAGGTGAAGGTCTGCTTTCAGTTGGCTATTTCCGTGAGTGCACAGACCAAATTTGCAGCCCAACAACCAACTAAAAGAGCTTGCGTGGCAATCCGACAACACTGCTAATAATTGTGAGGCAGTGCCATAGTGTTGTCAGCCAGCAACAGGAAGTGCAATTACTGGCAGGATCTCCAGAGAAGAAAATTAAAAAAAACTATTTGGTTGTGAAAACTGTCAGCAGTGATGCGTGATGCCAAACATATTGAAAAGTATACATTTATAAATGTGGCGCTCCTTAAAAAATATATTAATTCATACTTATGATTTGTGATGAACACGTAACATAATAAACCATACTTTTATAGATGAAACAATTATAGTGACATGATTTAAATGAATAAAAACGTCCAAATCCAAAAAAACGTGATTATTGCTTTGCTCTAAAAAATATAAAGTCCCATCACTCAATAAGTGATCCAAAAATCGTGACGTGGTGACTTATTAATCATGAAATAGTGACTTTCCGTGATCCTCCAACCAGTAAAATTGTGCGCTCACCTCCTTCTATGCCTAAAAAAATAGGCTACACACGCTTGTGGTTCACACAACCTGGAACCTGCTGGAACAGCTGTAGCATATCATGGATCATATCATAGCAGAACATACAGCTTTACAACATAAACAGGACGAAACGCATTGGTTGGGGTATCGCATCCGCTCACCTGGAAGG